ACACACACACACACACACACACACACACACACACACACACACACACACACATGCATACGCACACGCGCACGCACGAACGTAAGAACGTACGCACGCACAGTTAAAGTAACTATAGGGACCCGCCTGAGATAGATATATTTCATATAAACCCCATGTACAGAATTTTAACCCTTTTTACAATCGAATGAGATTTTGAGCAGTTATTATTAATAATAATAATATTCCAAAAACCCAACAAGGAGTTTTCGCATAATGATGAAAACCCAAATAACAGTATTTCCTCGCATAATTACTTACAGATCATTAGCTATGAGGGGGGAATTTATTATAGTAAGAGCTCTACATAAAAAAACATATTTGCAATTCTAATTATACGCTATATCACCGGTGTCCCTCATCTTTGATGGTCGTATAGAAATTAAGCTATTACTACACGACGATAACAGCGGCGATATAAACATTTTACAATAACAATTTTGCAATCCTGCATCATGGAACAAAACATACGATGAAACGACTACAGATCTTACGAGTAATTTTATTTAAATTAGGATGGCTGGCAATTCTTTTCCGTCGCGTATTTCCATGCGGTAGTATGGTGGCGAGGTGAGTTAACTTATAACGTGGGAAGGGGCGAAATAATCATATCGGTTAAATTATTGCGAAGGTTTTATTCGATACATTAATGCGATAATTTCGTAAGCACCCTGATGCTACGTATGAGGGTACGTGTACCACCTGTGGCCGGCTAGCTCATGTATAAAATGCAAATGGCGCAGCTAGGTATTACGTACGGGGCTTATATATAAGGACAGTAGCTGGGAAATACGACTGCAGCTACGTGTACGGCGTTAGACAACGGTCGATTTTCTGTGCATACGAAGATTTCATGCAATGGGCGTCTCCATGCTACGTATCTTCGTGGTACTTGCCATTTCAGGTATGTGCATTGAATTTAACTCGTCTTTCCTTCCTTGATATGTAGTACGTTGAATTCATAATGTTTAGTTTAGGTAGTTAATTACTGCGCTGCTTTACAGCAATGTATAAATTTACGTCTTTATTGGATAAACTTTGATATTATTCGATAAACTTTGATACTCGAAATTGAGTTCTGCGCTATAGTTAGAATTTATGGAGAATACTTTTGTCGTGCTTACTCAACACCGTCGCTGGCGAATCTGTGACTAGCGACGGATGGCCATAACAACGTAATGACTTAGCAACCAATTTGTTCTAATCCGCCGCATGTCTTAGCATGAATCGTCCATTGATTACGCTGCATAATGAAGGTAAACCCGTGGTTTAACTCATTAAGCAGCGCAGTGACGTTTCGTACCCACTCGTTGCCGTTACAGACTAATGGGTGTTTGTTTCTAGCAGCATGGACCATCAACACAGCAAACGGTATCCCAATGCTAAACGTGAGGATCGACGACCACATGCTGGTTGCAGTACGTGTTACTTATAGCTTCGGTCCTCTCACGTGTAGCAACTTAGGGATAATATGGTTCGGCTTTAACTAATATAGTGAATCTGCGTATCACGTCTACACGCACGCATGTAACTTTGCCACTATATAGTCCATGGGCCAATACACAAGTAGGTAGGACCTACAATTTTGAGGGACAAAGGCTCACTATATATTTTTGAAGGATCATCACCTTGGGCACATTTTTCAGTATGATGGACATTCCCAAGTGGTAGCCTTATACCTTTTTTTGTGAGAAAATATGCTTTTAGGGAGTAAAATCACGTTTTTGAAATTTTCCTTATAAAAAGGGCATGAACAGCTAGAAAAAAATCAAAAGGTGGAAATTATGAACAGTACAAGGGCTGTCGTTTTTACATCCTATCATCAAAAATTTTCTCAACGGTTGCCATGGCAACGGCCATTTTGGAAAAAAAGAGTATTTTTATGACAAAACTTTAAAAATTAATATCTCGGGCTGATTCTCACTCATTGGATAAATCCATTCGTCTTCTAGAATGCGAACTGTATATGAAAGTATGATGTATGTAGTAGAACATACGTCAGATTAGTCTCTCTAAATGCGGCTAGCCTGAAGATCAGCATGGGTTAAATTTGGATTCGGCTGACTCACCATGTCTCTGATTTGTCTCAGAGAAAGGCTGTGATACTCTGAGGTCATATAGTACCTGCTGACAGCTGAGGATTTCAAGCTGAATCCTTTTGTACCTCCTGGTGTTTTGGTGTCTTTGCTGACTGTTTCATCAATTGTCTGGTCAACAGAGATTTTTCCAAAATGATTTCCTGACCCACGTTGAACGGAGAAGCCTCCATCCGACAGGTATGCATGCACATCTGGGTGGCTACTTGCTAGTTGTGGCATTTGTGCCAAGTAGACTGAACCATAACGCGAGTAGTTTACTCGGTCGTATGCGAAGGCCCAGTACAGCAGAGCTTAAAACGAGTGGAGATGCGACAACCAGTCACCTTCTCTAGATGCACGCATCAGACCCAGCATGATGTCTACCATATCGATGTAAGACATCCAGAAGGCTGCAAGCTCCCCTCTACTTTCATCTCGCATATTGTCAAGGAAAGTCTCAAAGTAGCTAAGAATCTTGGCTATGCTTGGATTCATCAGGATGTCAGTAAGAGTTGTCTGACATAAATCATCACATGCTGCCTCAATACATCTAACTGCATCTTCAAGCTCGGGGTGCAAAGCTTTCAGTGATTGTACGACTTCCTTCCATGCTAACTGGAGAAGTGCTTCATACACCAATTTATGAAGCCTTACTCCACGATTGCACTGGCGTCCTTAAAGCACTCCCTGGAAGAACCTTCTGAGAAGATATTGATTAAGTAAACTAATTTACTAATTTACTCACTTTGATAGCCTTTGACATTGATAGCTATGTATCAGGAATCTCCAAATCACGCGTTTCTGCCATTTTCCTAAAAACGGCATTTTGAATATGTTTTTACCCCATAATTGACAATTCTGTCTACATATATTGTACACAAAGGTAATTAAGAAACTGCCTAAGACTCTCAGAATAGGTTTGCCGTTAAAAGCACTCAAATATTTTATGTGAATCCGGAGATATGAATTTTTAAAGGTTTGGCACCAAAAAACGTATTTTTGCCCCAAAATGGCTGTTGCCATGGCAACCGTTGAGAAAATTTTTGATTATATGATGTAAAAACGACAGCCCTTGTACTGGTCATAATTTCCACCTTTTGATTTTTTCTAGCTGTTCATGCCCTTTTTATAAGGAAACTTTCAAAAACGTGATTTTACCCCCTATAAACGCATATTTTCCCACAAAAAAGGTATAAGGCTACCACTTGGAAATGTCCATCATACTGAAAAATGTGCCCAAGCTGATGATCTTTCAAAAAATTATAGTGAGCCTTTGTCCCTCAAAATGGTACCGATATGTCATTTTGTTGGTATTGGCTCATGGACTAATATAGCAGATTGTTATTGTAGAAAAGAGGAAAGCGAAAAGAAGAAAAATTTCAATCGAAAATATTGCTGCCGCTAACAAAAGGCATGTGCCATAGACTCACAAACAGAACTGCGCGTGTATAAAAGACAGTGTATGTAGGACGTCACAGACTTCAACTATTTGGCGGTTTTGTGATTTGTAATGAGTTAATGCTGTAGAATGAGAATGCTGTAGATGTTGTAGAATGAGTTAATGCTGTAGCTCACCTGCGTTCGCATTAATGTTTTTGATAGAGCTGATTAATTAACAGAAATTTCTTGAAAAGCGGCCTGTGACCTTTTGCAGTCGTACGGATTCATCAAAGATTACTGTTTACAAATCCTCGTGAATTACGTTTTCCGTACGATATGATCACGTCTCCTAATTAACAACACATCGTCTGCGTACACAGCGCATGCTCGGTGAGGAGAAGCCGAAGCGCGACTTGGCCGGCTCCGATCAACAGCAGATTCTGACGATACACAACAAGATGCGCGCGTCCGAGAAGTCATCGAGCATGGTGAAGCTGGTAGGTGCGACAGGCCGCCGGTCTTCCTAGCCACAGCGTCTACCTCCGCGTTTCAGTAATACGAAGTCTACCGCTCTCCTTCGTGAGACGATGAGCAGTGGCTGTTGTCAGTAACAACATTATCGTTTTCTCGCAGTTCTTCAAACGTTTTCTCATAGCTGCGATGCGATTTCTGTCAAAGCTATTCTCGTATAACATTAACATTAGTTGTATGTGCTATCTTAGCATTAACATTAGCATTAACTTTACGATGTTTCTGACAACGACGCCCTCGTTTACAATCGGGTGACTCTATCGCTCGCTGTTTAGCGGCTTGCGTTACCCAACCTCTCTCGAGTCTTGCGACGAGAACCAATCATTTAGTCCATCATTAATTCCCTTCCCAGCCCTGCCGACACCGTTTCTTACCTTCATCATGCTTATATACTCTACACTCCACATACACTCTGCTACCGCCATTCAGTCCAACAACATTCATTCCCTTCCCAGCCCGGCCGATACCGTTTCCTGCCTTGATCATGCTTACACTCTACACTCCACATACACTCTTCCACCGCCATTCAGCCCCTCATTCATTCCCTTTCCATCCCGGCCGAAACCGTTTCTTACCTTCTTCATGCTTATATACTCTACACTCCACATACACTCTGCTACCGCCATTCAGTCCAACAACATTCATTCCCTTTCCAGCCCGGCTGACACCGTTTCTTACCTTCTTCATGCTTATAATACTCTACACTCCACATGCGACCGCGCGCGCATGTCGTACGTCGATTCCCCAGTATCGTGCAGCTAAATACGTGGATTCGTCACGGAACAAACACACTGAACAAATGCACTTCAACACACTGAACAAATGCACTTCAACACACTGAACAAATGCACTTCAACACACTGAACAAATGCCGTTAGCTTCAAACGTGCTCTTGTTTTTTTACCAACACTGTTGCTGGGCAACTTACCGGCTAATGCGCCGGAAATACTGACTATTTGGCAAGTCAAATCTTTTTGATTAACACAAATAGTCAAGCTGCTGTTTAAGACCATATTTAACTATTATGCTAGTCAAATTTAATCGTTGTACTAGTTAAATTTATTTGACTACTATATTTTGACTACAGTGTTTTTAGAGTGCGCGCGTGGATTCATGACAGGTCGCGGTACCGAGCCATGCGCGTGAGAACGAAGTCAGTTTGGTGTAGAAACTCGGTCTACGATGGATAGAAGTTGCGAGGCTGCGCGCGGCTTAGATGTTCCGACTTGTATCGAAATTGGCAGGACAGTCGCGCGTTTCGGAACGAAGGTTAATGAAGCGAAACAGGTTTAAAGACCACAAAGTTTTAAAAAGAGATTTCATTACACCGCCGCAAACTTGTAGTTTTATTACGATTGTATTATAGCTCGGCACTACTGCATGTGAATGCGGGTTAATGGTTCTAGGAATGCCATAAGAAGAGCGCGCGTACAAGATTACGGTCTTTAAGGCGGCATTATCACTGCATTATATACGGCTTACTAAAAGCATCGTAAAAATAACTTCGTTTCTGCATGTTAGCTCGCACGTGTCAAATCGGGAATATTTTTTTTAGAAACCGTACTACCGTACCACCGTGGCCGTTCTACCTGCCATTGACTGCCACCCTTACTGTTCCAAAGTCGATTGACTATAGAGCAACTAGCGTCCATCCCCGATCGTTATCTAACGTTCTAGTGACGTAAATGTAGCTGGTAAACGTGGTGTGTTCAATGCGAAATATAACGCGCAAGACTGAGGGGAAATAGCAAAAGATGTACTCTTAATTCGACATTTTGAGTGCGTCCAATATTATGTTATAACAATTACATACAGGTCGCGACAATCACCGCTCCGGTAAGCTGTTTAATGTGGCGGTAATGATACAAACATGTCAAAGGTTCAGTATCAACTATCAATAAGTCGGTGTATAGTGCAGATATGCAACGATAATACGAGTAATAACGTAGTCTCATCAAAATTACCGCTGTAGTTTCTAAAATGCGCCCGCGTATGCGCTTTGTTACTACGATATATTACGATTACTTTATACTTTTTGTATGCTTGCATGACTATATGAGTTATATGTGCCGTAAATACGCCAGGTAGACGTCGTTAAGACAAACAGGTGGGATATAAACTGTAACCCGAGCTGCGGTTACTAATATAGCAAGATGATGTGTTATTCACTGGACGCTATTTAAAATGAGCTGTCGATATTTCTTTCGTTATAGAAATGGTACGATGATGCGGCGGTGCTGGCGCAGACGTGGGCGAACAAGCTCGCCAAGACATGCAAGTTAGAGCATGACTCCATGGAGTCACACAGCCCTCAAAGTAAGCCCAATTGCATACAGCCGCTCTTATCACATCATCAAGACAAAAGCGTCGATTCACCCAACCTCTGACATACGCGCGTAGCCAAATCGACCGGATGATAATTGCATCATGCTCGTAATTAACGAACGTGAACATAATAAACTGAATCTGTGCGCGTGCACGGAAATCAACGTTGCTCTTATACTACACTGCAACGACGGTATCGGCACGCACGCGCGAGCACGATATCTGTAAAGAATTACAATACCGTGTCTTTACAATACTTTACAAGTCTTTACAATACTTTAGCCATTCGGGGTGCGCTTTAGCAGGGCAGTAATGGCCGACGATTCGATAGAATGCATGCCATCAAGAGCCCATGATATTATTATTATTATTATTATTATTATTATTATTATTATTATAATAACATTACATATATATATATATAATAGTTCATATATTATATATTTTATATCATTATACTTGCAGAGTACATATCGCCGGTGATGCAGTCTTGCGGACAAAACATAGCTCTCGGTTACGACACGTGGGAGGCCGCCATGAAGGCATGGTACGATGAGAAGCAGTTCTTCACGTACGGTAGCGCCCCTACCGGAGTAACGGGGCATTACGAACAGGTTAGGGTTACCTTTGCGCAACGTATGCACGTAAAACGTAGAATATGATATCCCATAATCCACCGCTCCTTTGAGGTGTGCGCGTGCATTCGAAATCATAAAAAAAAGTTAATAGATGCAGCGGCGAAATATTCTATCAGTGCTCGGATACTCGTACTTTGTATGCAACCTCAAACATCACACCTCGTACGTGACTAGGTACAGCTTCGTATTAGCTGCGTGCTCGCACTCTGTGTGATCGTGCTCATACGATCAACTGCACGGAAGAGCCGTAAATACACGATATTAGACCTCATGGTATAAGTCACAGCGAACGTGACCGGTTCCCGCCGGCAGAGAGAATCGGTTAGAATTACAGTCCCTTACTACAAAAAGAAGAAAAACTATATTACGTAAAGCGACTACATTAACCTAGCGAGAACTAACGACACGCGCGCCTACGCTCTCGCTAGATCGTGTGGGATACTTCGGCTTTCGTCGGGTGCGGCTTCGCAAAGTGTGCCGACGGTACGCCGCTCCACGTGTGCAACTACTGCCCCCACTACCGGCCCAACCTGGACGAGCGCAAATACATGCCCTATCTCAAGGGCGCGCCATGCAGCCAGTGCGAGGCCGGCTGCGAGCCTGATGGCATCTTCTGCAGTACGTATATATGCATGCCACGTGCTTTGCACAAAGAGCAAACTATATTTTTGCTTATACATTTCTGCTGTCCAGTGCGCAATACCGCCACGAAGAATCAAGATTGCATCGTATACAGTGCGACACAGGAACATGTTACAGCTACCCGATGAACCCAGTACAAAACCATTGACTCACCTGTGCCTACGCACCATTATTCTCTTACACAATTATAGCACTACAGTTGATTTACTGTGTATATTATTAGGAGCGCATAATAGAGGGTACTGCTATTATAATACATTATGTAATAATCTAGTATTACACAGCCCCGGTGTTACACTGCCAGGGGTTGATAATGACAAATCATTTATCATAATTTGTCATTATCTACCCCTGATAAAACTCATGCAGAGTGTTAATTAGTTAGCCTTGTTAGACCATTGCTTTACTTCATCCACTCAGGCGAGATTTCTAGAAATTCTGCAGGGCGTTTCCACGTGGGCGTGCCCTCTACAATTACTCGTGTTTACACGGAGTCGTCGGCCAGAGTTTGACATTAGGTACAAGGCGGGTCTGGGGGGTGGAGCAAACACCTTCGCCAGATAGACTTCTTTACCGTCGTAATGGTGGCTGTTATCACCATTATTCTCATTATCACTGATCTGCTGCTCGCGCTAATTGCTCATCTCTGTCGTCGCCCATCATCGTCGGCTATGAGGATACACACACGCCGGCTATAACTACAGACTCCCGCATGTACGTGGGCACGTACACATAGGGAAGCGCTATTATCGCTTACATAACAGGCGCTTCGCCATGCAGCCAGGATAACGCGACAAACACACGTACGCGACAGACGCACGCACACATGGGCGCACTCACGCACGCACGCACGGACCCGCACACGAACACAGGCATACACTCACACATATACCACCCATACACACACACACACACGCACGCAGCCAGACAGGCAGACAGAATAGGCCGGCCGACGGACCGACCAACCCTCAATCTATATTTGTATTACAATTACATATCCGTTTGCCTACGTCGCGTTTACGTTATCTTAAATACTCATATATCTCATTTTATATTACGTCCGAACAAGTTGGTAGGTTGTGCTTGGTACTGTTGGATTGAATAATGCGACGGGCTGCGCATGCGTGCGATGGGGAGGTAGGGAGGTAGGATGAGTTAGGAGGTAGGAGGTAGGAGGTAGGGTAGGTAGAAGGTAGGATAGGTCGGCGAATTATTATCTGTCAACGCAAGAAAGGTCCGTACACCTGTAAACGCTTTGTAGTCGGATTGTCAGTGGAGTCGTACGGTAATGGAAAACGCCGGAGCCAATGAGCCGATTTAGACGCAGTGCTTACTGGGACTTGAGTGATGCCCTCAGTGAGCCTCACTACATTAACGAATCTTTATATCTCAATGCCGCGTAATAGGGATGGAAAAAAGGATAACGTGGGCCGATCCTTTTAAAGCTATACCAAGTCGAGGCTCACATATGTGATTCAATTGTCGACATATGCATCAATAATACGAACTGGTTCCTGTATATATTTGACTCGGTTTGTCTCGTTGGTAGAGCGCACATGCCATCTTGTTTGGTAGCGACCGACATTTGAAAAATCCCGATTATCTTCGTAATGAATTGTAAATAACTCCCATCAGAAAAGAAAATATTACATTTAAACCAGATGGGAACAGTGTGCATGAGACGAACGCGTCGGGTAAAAGTTGTAAGATCTAATTAGTGCAGGCGTAACATGACCTAATCAGGTTCAGATATCTTACCCCTCACCATTTACTGACACCCCCCATTCGTCGTAATTCGTGCGTTGCGGCCACAAGAGACCCAATGCATAACAACCCGTGCGGCAACGCTCAGTGCATCCTCAGTGCTCCTTCTCTCAATTAACCCTTAACATTTGCTAATAAGACGAAATGATCGTAGACTCCGTTCGACATTCTGCAGTTCTGCCAGATTGACACGCACATGCACGGCTTGGCTGGCCAGTATCACCACTAATTATTTTTTCTGTCCGTGTGCGTGTACAATAAATAACGCGGTGCCGTTTTGACTGATCATTTTGATGTTTTCCGAATCAGACACGATTAAGACACAAGAAAGAAGAAGCTGACATGCGTGGCTCGGCAAATTGATTTCCTTGAAAGCCATGCACGCACACGCGCGTGCGAACCCAAACACACGCACGCACGGACACACACACATCAGGGTTCATAGTAGTAAGACACATGTTGAAATAAGGACTTATAAGACCTTTTCTGGAGGCCAAAATAAGACTGTTTTACGCGATTTCTGATAGTGATAGATCACCGACTATTAAAGTACACTAATTATTAGTAATAATATTTATATACACAATTGCACAGCAATTTAATTATTCCGTATTATATATACAACAATTCTTACTCTAAGTCGAGATCTTTGGCAAAAAATAAGGACTATTAAGTACTTTTCTAAGAATTCACCAAAAATAAGTACTAATAAGGGCCCTTATTTTATTTTTGGCAAAATAAGTACTTATAAGACTTTGGAAGACCCGCTACGAACCCTGTCTAGATTATTTATGTTGAACTCCAGGCTGACGTCATTCCTGTGCATTTCTTATTAATTCTACACAGAAGACTTAGGCAGTCCGTATATCCAGACATTTTAACAAGCCCCTAAACAATAACGAGGCCCCAACGCTAAATCTGAATCAGGAAACGCATCACAGGGTGTCTAGAATCACACTGCATCAGTTCACGTTCATGTATGCCACTGACTTAAACCGTTTGAATAGAGCTTGATAAGAGAAAACATACTTGGTTACATAATATCAGTAAGGAACTTTCAGGTTCTAGAAATTTTCATTGTGCAATAACGAAAAGTGACCTCTAATGATCTTACTCATGTGTTACGATGTTGCCCATGCAGACCAATTTTCAGCCCCAAGGACCAACCGTTTGGCCACTAGCCGTACTAACAATCATCGGAAATATTAATATAGATTATATTATATTACATCCTATATTACGTTATATTATATCATATTATAAATATATATATATATATATATATATTAGGCTATAGCAACGTGTGATAGAGAATTAATGCCTTCCTTGCATGGAAAGCCAAACCTATGCCGACCGAATTATGCCGACTACCACCGCCGCCACCACCACCGCCGCCACCGCTGCCACCACCACCACCACCACCACCACCACTACGGGAGCATCACTTAATTAAAGGGAATGTCGTTTAAAAAACGATCTTTACACATGTTATTTTTAAATCGGGTAAAAGTGCTAGAGGACAGGACCTAGGTTAAACACTAAAACGTACAGGACATTTTCTGCAGAACAACTTTCTGAGTGTTGCAAAACGATCCTATACTTACTACTACAAACTGACAATTGTCGACTTATCTGCGGATTTTGAATAATTATAATGACCTCACAAAACATTTCTAGGCAAAGATATACATCTGAATACGTACCGAGTAGTGAGTACTATATATCCACTACCAAATCGGGTTTCTTTAGCGCAACAGCGAGGCTCAAAATATGGATAGCACACAACATTCTTCTTCGGCCAGAGATCATGTCGAATTGCGTGGAGCCAGACAGCATAGGGTCTGTTGGCCATGCATTGCTACCTAGCTCTGTTACAGTAATATTCGGGAACACAACGCGTTTGCGCCATGCTCCTTCTTCGGCACATTCCTTAGACTTTAACTTTGAGGTTATATGCACTTCTATTAGCTCAACTGTATCATACATACACAACTTCTGTAGTTATATGTAACTTCGCATGTTATGTATTCGCTTTATGTATAACTGCAAATGTTAATAATCATAGAAATAGAATAGAAGATGTATTCTATATCTATGAAACATTACCCGCAACGGTTGTCCGGACCGCATCAATACTGGCGCGACCTGCAGGTTATAGTTTCCTCATTATGTATTGTATACAATACTGATACATTGTAGTAATATCGGATCACATAGATAAGTGCTGCCATCTATTGGTAGAAATACTCCCATATTACATAGCTAGACATTGATTTTCCATGTTATTGCCACATTTTCTTTGAAATTCAGGCACCAGTGATGAACACATGAATAGCTGGATCTATGTTTGGTTACTATCCTCTTAATGATACCAAGACTCAAATAATAAATTATTAGCAATAATGACCGTGAAGAAATATATAAATATTGAAACCATTATGACTAAGAATGTGAGTAAAGAGTCAGCGAAAATTCACCCAATTACTACCATTGCCCATTGATGAGAATATATATTAACATTTATTTACGCATATACAGTGCCTCACACACTATTACAGCAGCATCAAGATTACTTGCTTAGAATGTATTGCCTGTAAAGTCGCTCGTCCGCCTCGCAGGTGAAGTCTGGCACGAAGTTTACCTTGACGATCTCCGTGAAACCCTCTGCGAGAGTCGGCTGCTGGTAGCGCGCCCTGTGAGAGTTGAGCACCATATCGTTGACAGGAACGTGGGCTCCGTCCGTGCCGGACAACAACCGGAAGTCGTTGTTGTGACGCGCGTGTTCGATGGAGACATCGAAGAGAAAACAGCGGCACGCGACGCGAGCCTGCCTCGCGCACTCCACGTATCGCGCTCGCGACTCCGCGTCCGGGTTCGTGTTGTCGACGACGACGCTGCGTCCGTCCGCCAGCTCCCTCTGGCAGCGCACGACGCACTTCTGCCAGGAGCCGAGCAGGTCGCGATTGACGCGCACGTAGCCGCGAGGAATCAGCCACTTCTTCACGAAGAAGCTCTTCCCGGACGCCGGCAACCCGACGCAGACGACGACCTCTCGGGTCGACGCCGCGACAACCGCGGTCGGCGGGTCGACGAGAGGCGCGGACGCCTTCAACATGCGTGGGTCAAAGGTCGGCATTCTGTATAGCGTACACGCCTTCTGGCCGAGGAAGAACTCTTCGGGTGTGTAGAAGCGGATTCCGGCGTTCAGCGCAAACAGCCGGTCGCCGCACGAGAAGTCCTTCTTGCGCTTCGGCGCCCAGTTCGCCTCCCTGCCGGCCGCGTCGCCGACGTAGAAGCTCGCTGCAGCGTCGACGGGCACGCCGTCGTTGCCACGCTCACACAGGTGGCGCCACATGCCGAGCATGGGCTTGCGGTACACGCCGGAGCCAGTCGACACCAGCACCTGCACGCACACCTGCAGCTTTGCGACGATGCGCTCCACCTTACGCTTGAAGTCCGCCAGCCGAACCTTGCCCGTCTGAATTCCCTTCTGGTTGGTGATGAAGACGAGCTTGTACGCGTCGCGCCGCAGCTGCTTCAGTCGGCCGGGAATCTCCGCCAGCAGGAGGCGCCAGTCGTCGGTGTCGACAGGAAACACGCGACCCGAACGTGTCGTGACGATCGTGCCGTCGATGTCGAACGCGGCGATCTTCGGCGACGCGGTCACCCCCGGCGACGTGTAAACGTGCAGCTTCCCGTCTCGCTCGGTCCAGCCGCTCGGCTGGCACTGCGGCGCGTCGGCGGTAGTCGGCTCGCGAGTGGAATCGTGTGGCTTCAGCGATCGTCGCATCTGCTGCAGCTTCTCTTCTGCAGCCTCCTCTTCATCGCTGCTATTTGCACGGCTGCGCTTGCTCCGCTGGATTTCGTCGGGAGTATCTGCACGCCTCTTCGCGCTCGACGGCACAACCTTGAAAAAGTCCGCTATTCCTCTGGCATCGTTCTTTGCTGCCACACTTTGAGCAGCTTTTTCGACTTGACGCTTGTATTTGCCCTCAAAACTTGAGTCAGGACTGCTTTTGCCGAGCGCAGCTCTTCTTACGTGATGTTCTGTAGGCTGCCCCCGAACATTCGAGCCATTCTTGGAGTCATGTCCCTGCACCTTAATGACAGCATCCCTCTCAGTCTCATCACTCATGCCTGGCAACTGTTTGACAACCGATCTCCCTGGGAAAGTCACTGCATAACAGTAACTTTCGTAAAGCAAACACAGCTTTTCACCATTACATAGGTAGAGTATGTCACCGCCATGCAGTAGCTGTGAACCAACACGGCAAGGATTCCTGCCGACGTGTCGTACTAGAATACACCTGTGACAAAGACACAACAATTTAACACCTGTGTGACTGTGACTGTAACCGCAAACACAGGTGGCACTACCAAAATCGGAGATGTATGCATCAAGCTCTAAAAACGCAGCACGATTGCGTTGGGATGGTCAAAAGTAAACACAGCTGGAAATTAGGACATGTCAATTAGGCAATTAGAGAATGATGGAGAATTCGTGGAGTTTCGCAAATTAGCTTCAACTCTGAAGGCATGACGCAGCCAACAAGCGTTTAAAGCATGGGAGAACATAGCTCTTTTAGTGTAGCCCCTTTGCTCCCAATACAAGTAGCTACAGGGAGAACATTACTTAGCATCACAAATGCTTAGCAAAAAGGTATCAAAAGTTACATGACCTACATGTCGAATTACCTGTCATCATAATAGGCTGTGACCTCCAGCTGACCCCTGGAGCATCTCGTGTCCGTTAGCTGTGTCTGTCTATTTCGCCCAACCATTACGGTCACCCGGTCCCCTATGCATATATCAGACAATCTGTCGGCTGGACTGCAGCTTCTTAATATGCAGCTTTCCATCTTTAGCCTGTGTTAGGCTCTACTCATGATACCTAATGTGAAAGATAATCAAAATGTAAAAAAAAATTGTTCAAACAGAACAGAGATTCTATTGGCTTTGTAGCAGCTGGACAGTTTTACCAGTAAGCAAATGTTCAATAGCACAAGTGGCACTCTGTTTATCATGGTTTACTGTGGGATTGCTGGAAACACCATTTCCACATGGAGAAAGAAAAGGGTGCATCTACACACTACATCCTAACTAATCTGAGTTTTACTACTTGATGGCTCACAATTACAGACATTTGGGTTATATTTTTCGATTCAATGAATATAAAAGAAAACCTATTTACCAAATATATGTAAAAGTAACTACTTATTTCTATTATATATATAACAGGGTTAATTTTTACTCAACCGTGAAGATTGGAAACGTACCACTTACGTTTCGCCTCCTGCCAGGAGGCTTTCTCAAAGCTAACTGATGATTATCAATTTTAACCACCAGATGGTGTGGTGGTCAATAGCTTAGTCCACACGTGACTGAGTCTGTATCCCCCCTCATCCCGGTTGATGTTTGGGGTCTTGCGGATCCAGATGGCCTCCTTAATCCAACGCCTGATTTTGATTGGCTTGCGATCGATAATCTTTAAATTCTCCCAATCGATGGTGTGATTGTCCTTCGCTACGTGGTCAGTGATCGCGAATTTGGTGATTTCGGTAGCCGACTCTTTTCGTTGGGCCCTTGTGAACGATTTGGGTGCTACGGTGTCTACGTCCTTTTTGTGTTCTTTAAGGCGGGTTTCAAATTTTCGGCCGGTTTCTCCAATGTAACTTTTTTCACACATTGCACAGCGTATTCCTTGTAGACCACACCTCCGGTCCGGTAATGTTGTGCCAGACCTGTTCTGGTCCTTGGGAGGCTAGACCAGAAAGCCGGTTTTATGGGTCTCAACGGCGTCTAACTGTTGAAGGCCACACCTGGCATTTTAGGTGACGTGGAACTATGTCCGGACGCCTGACATAGAGTAGGTGACAATCATCGCCTTCGGTTGTCTCCCGATGGGGTTTCTTATCGAGATGTTGTTTTTTCCCGTGAATGTGTTCATCTCCTTGGACACTTTTCGAGGTGTCCAATTGGAGGTAGCCAGCATTTTTTTAGGTTGCTGTTCTTGATGTGGCGCGCTTTCAAGCTCCCGCGTCTCACTCTTCGTTATCGATCTTGTCCTGCGATAAGTATGCGTCCATCCCACTGACAGTTTGTGGTTGACTCGTGTCGGTGTTGAGTTAAAGTTTAAGTACTGGTCAGTTTTAGTGAACCATCTTCTCGATTATCGATGAGTGTGTCGAGGGAAGCGAATTTTTTGATCGAGTTCTTCCTTGTTAAACGTGAATTTGATGTTGGTTGGTACTGGTCGATGCTGTTGAGCGTGTTCATGGGTCCATGCTTTTGGAACTGTACCAGACTGATGACTTCTCAATGTGGTCATCTAACATTAGGCGTTAGCCGACAATTTAGAGTTATGAGAATCAAGACGGGTGCTGCTCTCAATGGGCTTTCGTTTTCAAGGGCCATTTCATATAAAGATTGGCAGATACATACGAGCGGACCTACGGCTACACCATGGCTGCTCCGACTTCTGGTCTGTATATTTGGTGCTCTGAATTTTGAAGTATGTGGTTGTAAGATTCTAAGAACAAACGTTGACAATTCCGATGATTAGTCTGTGGTGCAGGTTGGTTTCGCTCTTGCTTACAATGTTTTGTCTGCCTCCAGTCTCCCGACTTGATTATATGTTAATCAATTCTTTGGATCGAGTGTTGCGTAAAGATGAGACGACACGTCATGGGAGACTAATATCTTCGTCTGGTCTTTCAATAGCCGTATAGTTTTTAGTTGCCTCTGCTAGCTCTGGTTGAGTTCTTGAATTGTGATTGTTCGGTGGTGCTGACCAATGGGGCCCAGTCAGCGGGTGGACTAAGCCTATTGACACCACACCACCTGGTGGTCCAAAACTGATAATAACATGCAGTTAGCTTTGAGAAAGCCTGCCTGGCAGATTAGGCGAAACGTAAGCGCGTTCTTTCAATCTCACGGTTGGTCAAAATTACCCTGTTATATATATTAGTCTACCAGTACAACCGAATGAACCTATTTATATTTATATATGTATTCTATTATGTTTTCACTTTCTTGCGCGGCACTTCAGCATTTCCCTTTTTAAACCAAAATGAGAATTTCTGCATAAATTTGGATACACGAATAGGAGTCATGCTTTGAACTATAAGGTTATGTTACACTGGGACATGTACAATGGTCATTGTAAATCACATATACTGTGTTACTGTTGTTTAGGCTAAATTATAGGGCGTAATAGTACCATGAACATACCTATAACCTATACAACGAACAAGCAAGTACACTATGTCAGGCTTTCAGATTTGAAAAGTACAGGAGGACTACTAATGACTCCCCTAGGACACCATAGGTGGTCTTTCACGCTCCTAATCACACCCTTAAGAGCATGATGGAGAGCTCCACTAAAAATCACACCTTAAGAGGCATGATGGAGAGCTCCACTAAAAATCACACCTTTAAAAGGGATGATGGAGAGCTCCTTGAGGGCTCTCCATCATCCCTCTTGGGTGTGATGATGGAATCATGACCAATCCTCAGTCTAGAGTGAAATCCAAAACGAAAATTGGGATGTCATGTCAATCTACTGATTATCATTCATCTTCACCTTCATTCATTCAATGGCTTCGTCAGGATTACATTCTTTCATCCAACAACCAACAATAGCCCACAGATTAATAAAAGAGTTGATCGGATGTAAAATAAACTTGTTTTATTTATTCTGATTTCCATCCTTCTAGAGAGATCCTTCATATACTTCATAGAGATTCTAATCCATGTACCTGCATATTTCAGCACAAAATATCATCACATCCATCAAACAACTAGCCAAATTACTTGTACGTAGTAGCCACGTATGTAGCCCCTCAAGCCTTACGACTGTTTCACGTCAGCAGAAAACCAACTTCTCGCCACGTATAGTAGAAAACGAGCAGGTAACTTGTGGCTACCGTATAGGTACCTTAGTATTTGGATGCTGTTGTTTAGTTGTATTTATATATATATATAACCAGAGGGTAGTAACCAGACCTGTACCTCTGCCATACGTTCAGTTACTTACACACACACAAATTGTTGTGTGTTGCTAACTTTTTGTACCCCCCTACATTGAGAACTCTATGGAGCGCTATTTCAACATAATAGACATACTTTTGGTGCGCCGATTTCAACCACTTTTATGAGGCGCGATGATGCGCGCACCATGGCACAATTTCGGTGCGCGGCTGGAGCGCGACAGCCGATCGCGCCCCTTAAAAATGAAAGCCTGCTATGTGGTGTCCTCTTGCAACTATATGCACTGCAGAATTCAATAATTGTGTCGTTTTGCATCAACATTTGATGCATTTTCTGATTTGCCAGGCATTTAGTACTGATTTAGGAAATCGAAGACCGTGCCCGGCTGCCAGGCATATAGCCACAGCGCACTTGGAACGTCTCAATAAAAAAAATTAACATAAATTCAGAATAAGAGAGTTGTAATTTAACAAAAACTCTCTTATTCATATTGTTTGTGCACAGGGCGGGCTAGCTCTAGTACTATAGCCCCACACCAAATCCACTAAAATCGTCGATGCGGGCATTGGTCAGAGGAATCTCGGACTATACTACTACTAGTAGTAGTAGTAGTAGTACTACTACTAGAGCTAAGGGCGGGCTAGTCCGAGCCGATGCAGACCCCAGTAATGGGTTAAACCCGCACCCTCAGATTAGCAACGTCTGCATTTGCGGACTAAGGGCGGGCTAGTCCGAGATTCCTCTGACCAATGCCCACACCGACGTTTGGTGGATTTGGTGTGGTTAGTTCTATACTACTACTAGTAATAGTATAGGTGTGGGTTAGTACTATAGCCCGCGTTCAGTAACTGCCGCAGGCCGCCTGCGGCAGTTACCGATAATATATATTTAACTGTCGCCGTGCACAGCACACGACCCCTACGTATATATTTTATTAAAACGCTTCAAGTGCCTGCGATTGGTCAGAGGAATCTCGGACTAAGCCAAGTAACTTGTAAGGGCGGGCTAGATACAATAATGTAACCCAAACCCAAGAGGATAGAGTTACAAAGTCTCCCTATCCTTTTCTGCGGAGGAATGCCCGAGTGAATCACTCGGCGCCGGTTTGCTGGTGCGTTTTCAGATACTAGAACTTCCAAACTGGGTTTATTCTCAACAGAACCTTTCTCCGCTATTCGGGAACTTACTATGTATTGCCAATACTCTGTATTAAACTAATAATAACCTGTTACAAAAATTCGAAGTGACGAGCGGCGAATATACTGAGCGCCATTTCTGTTGACCTGTGACGTACGCATTTCCACAATGCGCATAGCGATCGGCAAACTCAGCGCCCTCCGATTGGTCGGTGAATCCGCTCTTCAAACCGAAGTACGTCACAGGTCAACAGAAATGGCGCTCAGTATATTCGCCGCTCGTCACTTCGAATTTTTGTAACAGGTTTAAGGTTATATTAGTTTAATACAGAGTATTGCAATACATAGTAAGTTCCCGAATAGCGGAGAAAGGTTCGTGTTGAGAATAAACCCAGTTTGGAAGTTCTAGTATCTGAAAACGCACCAGCAAACCGGCCCGAGTGATTCACTCGGCATTCCTCCCCAGAAAAGGATAGGGAGACTTTGTAACCCTATCCTCTTGGGTTTGGGTTACATTATTGTATCTAGGGCACAGGGGCATGTAACGTACTCCGTGGCCCATAAATATGCTCTCTAATAACATGCAAGCTTTCAAATTAACCCGGAGTAGATTCGCTAACACCCAAGGTGGACTGGCTATATTCTATGTTGTATATATAAATGGGTTATATATATACAACATTTATATATACAACATTATATATACAACATAGAATATAGCCAGTCCACCTTGGGTGTTAGCGAATCTACTCCGGGTTAATTTGAAAGCTTGCATGTTATTAGAGAGCATATTTATGGGCCACGGAGTACGTTACATGCCCCTGTGATCTAGGGCGGGCGTGCGGTGTACTTCACTACTTGTGTGTTGCAGATGAGCATTTGACCGGCATTTACAGCGTGATTATAGCGAATAAAGTAGACTTAAACTTGGTAGAATACATTTCGTGCTTATTTACCTTTTTTTATTTTTTATTGAGACGTTCCAACTTCAAAGTGTCTGTGGCGGTGTGCCTCCGAGTTGCGTGCGTTACCAATGCTCCGGAAGTTGATGGTCGTACGTTTTTACGCTTTTACGCAGGTCCCCGCGCACCGGTGTGACGAACTTCCTTAACGTCATTCGGATGAATCTGCGTCATAGATATCATATAACAACTGCGTTATATGATATCCATAGAGATGTATAAATAAACTATTTATACATCTCTATGATGATATCAGAAGTAGATAATAGGGAACTGATGATATCCTGATGATATCTATGATCTGCGTACTTCCCTTTTTATTCCATTTTTTATTCTATACATATGATGATATGTAATACGTAATACACACACTAATAAACTAAACATAATCTATTTAATCAATTATACACTATAATATTAAAATAAAAACAATACGAATTAGAATTTTCTACTGAGAACTAAACTGCCAGAGATAACATTAGGATCGAGTATCACGAGTGAATAATAGATCTATATATTATTATTTACTCGTGATAATATCAGGGGTTAATAATTTGTCATTATTAACCCAGGGGCGGATCCAGGGCTGAAGCTATAGACAGTATTTTTTCAGATTTTAGAGGCACATCCCCCAAAAAGGGCACACTACCCCACAGTGGGCGCCGTTAGGCGCGGAAGCACACTGGGTGAATGTGAGAATTTCAAAATTTCAAGGGTCTCTGGGCACAAAAATGAGCACCATTTGAGCACACATTTAGTCAATCAGCAATAGCTAAAAACCATATGGAATTTTATTTCTGCTTCATTTTGCCTGCGCTTTGCATACCAGCAATAATGCAGAATATGATGCACTTCCCTTCTTTTTCAGATATCAAAGCTAGTTTTGTTATCATGTAAAATTTTGATTTCTTTCAAGTCCTGTCAATGAATCAGAAGAAAAAGAAAACAAATAAAGAATATATAGCCAAATTCCATCAAATTGTTTTCTGTATTTTTTAGCGTAAAATTTCAGAGGGCACTTTGAAATCTAGACCGTATTTCCCAATACGGCAAATACGGTCTGAATCCGCCCCTGTAACCCCTGATAATATGCATAAAACACACGGAAATAAAAAAGTTATGGCATGTGATAGCGTCAATAACAATGAGTCAGTGACCAACCGCATAATAGAACTAAACCAAGTAAAATCAGGAATAGGATAGACTCCTGGTAAAATGCAAAAGAAGATTTTTTTAAATCAGTTGCCGCAGTGCCACAAGAAACATGCAAACATGCAAAATATTACTGTGGAAAAGATTACAACTGTGGGAAAGAATACAGGACATTGTAGAATAACCGAAAGTGCATCATAATAAAACACCCATGTGCCGGTGAACCTATAATATAGTTTTTTCTGGGGGGTTAACGGCACATATCGCTCATTTGCGGGATGAACCTATAATCACGTCTTCGGTATCAGGCTCTTGGTGATTTTGAGGTCTATAATCTAGCGGATGTCGGATTTTTGCCTTGAAGCTTAATTGTATCGTTTTATTATCATTGGTGTAATTTATTAGCTCACCTTGACATCGTCAAGCTGAGCTATTGCCATGGGTCGTCGTCCGTCGTACGTCCGTCCGTCAAGATGGCAATCGTTTCTATAATGTACGTCGATGGTGGCTCAATTAAAATCGACTTCTTCTTACTCACTTATTTGTGTCCTTTTTTGTGGTGAGCTACAGTGTCATTGACACTTTCATTATTGTTATTGGCACTATTACACGTGCGCGTACGCGCCCGCGCGCGCGCGTGTGTGTCTGTGAATGAGCCTTTCATCCTGTTTTCTTTGTTGTTTGATTGTTTTCATGCCAGTTCCTGCGACAGGCGCAGGTCTACAGATCACTGCTATTATTTTTTTTATAAATCGTTCACCGACGTGCTGGTTTGCCATAAGCAGCACCTTTTTCGTTGGGCCCTTGTGAACGATTTGGGTGCTACGGTGTCTACGTCCTTTTTGTGTTCTTTAAGGCGGGTTTCAAATTTTCGGCCGGTTTCTCCAATGTAACCTTTTTCACACATTGCACACGGTATTTTGTAGACACAGTCCGTAATGTTGTGCAGACCTGTTCTGTCCTTAGGGTGTACCAAAAGCCGTTTTAGGGTCTCAAACGGTCTAACTGTTGAAGCCACACCTGCATTTTTTAGGTGACGTTGAACTATGTCCGTGACGCCTCTGACATAGAGTAGGACAATCATCGCCTTCGGTTTCTCCGTGGAGGTTTTCTTATGAGATGTTGTTTTTTCCCGTGATGTGTTCATCTCCTTGGACACTTTTTCGAGTGTCCAATTGGGGTAGCCGCATTTTTCTAGTGCGTTCTTGATGTGGCGCGCTTCAGCTTCCCGGTCCTCACTCTTCGTTATGATCTTGTCCCTACGATCAAGTAGCGTCCATACCACTGACAGTTTGTGGTTGACTGTGTGGTGTGAGTTAAAGTTTAAGTACTGGTCAGTTTTAGTGAACCATCTTCTCGTTTATCGATGAGTGTGTCGAGGAACGGAATTTTTTGATCGAGTTCTTCCTTGTACGTGAATTTGATGTTGTTGGTACTGTCGATGCTGTTGAGGTGTTCTGTCCATTTTTGGACTGTACCAGACTTGATGATTTCCAATGTGTCATCTACATAGCGTAGCCACAATTTAGGTTAGAGATCAGACGGTGCTGTCTCAATGGCTTTCGTTTCAAGCCATTCCATATAAAGATTGGCAACGATAGGCGAGACCGGGCTACCCATGGCTGCTCCGAACTTCTGGTTGTATATTTGGTCTCTGAATTTGAAGTATGTGGTCGTAAGATTCTAAGAACAAACGTGAGCAATTCGATGATATAGTCTGTGGTGAGGTTGGTTCGTTTCTTCAATGTTTTGTCTGCCTCCAGTCTCGACTTGATTATATGTTAATCAATTCTGGGATCGGAGTGTTGGTAAAGAGTGAGACAACGTCATGGGAGACTAATATCTCGTCTGGTTTCATACGTATAGTTTTTAGTTCCTCTGCTAGCTCTGTTGAGTTCTTGATGTGATGTTCGGTGGTGCCTACCAATGGGGCCAGTCACGGGTGGACTAAGCTATTGACCACCACACCACCTGGTGGTCAAAACTGATAATCATCAGTTAGCTTTGAGAAAGCCTCCTGGCAGTAGGCGAAACGTAAGCGGTACGTTTTCAATCTTCACGGTTGAGTAAAAATTAACCCTGTTATATATATTAGTCTACCAGTACCAACCGAATGAACCTATTTATATTATATATATGTATTTCTATTATAGTTTTCACTTTCTTGCCCACTTCAGCATTTCCCTTTTTAAACCAAAATGAGAATTTCTGCATAAATTGGGATACACGAATAGGAGTCATGCTTTGAACTATAAGGTTATGTTACACTGGGACATGTTACAATGGTCATGTAAATCACATATACTGTGTTACTGTTGTTTAGGCTAAATTATAGGGGTAAATAGTACCATGAACACCCCGATGTCCGTCGTTACTCCGTTCGTTCCAAGATGGCATCGTTTCGTATAATGTTCGTCGATGTGCTGTAAATAAAACTCGACTCTTCTTACTCACTTATTGTGCCTTTTTTGTGGTGACTACAGTGTCAATTGACACTTCATTATTGTATATTGGCTATCTAATACACTGCGCGTACCGCCCAGCCGCTGCGCGTGTGTCTGTGAGATGAAGCCTTACCCATCACTGGTATTCCTTTTTTGAGTTTTTTTTACGGGTTGATTGTTCGAGAGCCAGTCCCTGCGACAGGTCCAGTGTCTAAAAGATCACTGCAAATATTTTTATATAAACAATGTTCACGCGCGCGCTGGTTTCCATGAGTAGTCAGCACCGTTAGATGGCGCTCCAATGGTAATCTGCAGTGCAGCGGGCGCAGTATAGCAATATCGTTACTTTACACTTTACAGTAACTAGGCTGAACGACATTGGTAATTCGAAGACGGATAGCAGGCGTACATGCCGAGACGCCAAACAGGCAGGCCGCGTAAGCCAGGGGGGGTTCGGGGGTTCAAACGAACCCCTCCCCCCCCCAAACCCAAAAATTTTATTTAATTGCAACAATGTTCACCTCATGTCGCTCAAATTAGTGTCAAATAATTGCAACAATACCCATCGCTTGCGGAGGTGAACAGGAACAGCACCACCTCCCCCACACCCCCCCCCAGTCGTCGCGTCTGCTCCCTCGCCTGATCAGCTTGCGCACCCCCTTCGAGCAGGGGCGTGTCCAGTGGGTCCAGAACCGGACCCCCCTGCTCGCGCTGCAGAAAATCCATCTGAGAGGGTGAAGTTAAAAAATTCCACGCAGACCAGACCCGCAGCCTTCGCGTGCTCGCAACCTTTGGGTTAACGCGTAGAGCCCCCCCCCCCCTGCTACAAATCCTGTACAGCCCCGCCGGAGCAAATGACACA